AACATAACCATATAGCTAATGCTTCTAATTCAATAGGATCATATCGTCGTTTAGTAGGAGATGTAACTTGAGAATGATAATATAAATTTTTTATTTCACCATTAATATTCTGTTGTAATGTACCACCAATGCCAGTTTTTGATGCATCAGTTGTTAATATAACAGGATAATTATCATCTGGAAAATCAAGAAATAATGGGAAGGTAATTAATAATTGTTTCAGTTGTGAAAATGCCTGAGATTGAGAAGCACCCCATTTAAATTTGTGCTTATTTGTTTTTGTTAAGTTGGTTACAGCATGAATAGGTGCGGCAATTGCTGCAAATTTGGGTATAAATTTGCGATACCATGAAAGAGCGCCTAAAAATTTATTTGCTTCAGCTAATTTAGTAGGTTGACGTAATTTAATAATTGCTTGAATTTTTTCATTGGTTGGTTTAACACCATGTTCAGATATCGTATGAGATAAATAATCAATTTGCTGGTGGAAAATAGTATATTTGACCGGGTTAAGTTGAAAATTATGTTTTGATAGAGCAGATAATACTTGTGTGAGATGGTTGAGATGTTCTTCAAATGAACGAGAATATACCACAATATCATCAATATAAACCAACGAGAATTCCCGACATGTTGATAATATATCAGTCATTACTCGTTGAAAAGATGGTGGACTATTCTTAAGACCTTGAGCTAGCACATTCCATTCGAAAAGACCATCGGGAGTAATAAATGCAGTTTTAAATTTGTCTTCTTCTTTAATTGGGAGTTGCCAAAATCCACTCTTCATGTCAAGTTTAGAAAAAAAATTATAGCCACCACCTAATAATTGTATTGCTTGTTCCATATTAGGTAATGGATGATTATATTTAATAGTAATATTATATAATTTCTTATAATCAACTACCATTCTCCATGTACCATCTTGCTTAGCTATCAGTAATGCTGGTGCTGCATATGGAGAATCAGATGGACGAATTAATCCGAAATGCAATAATTCTTGTACTATTTTATACATTTCTTCTTGTTTACTTGAAGTAGAATAATATGGTTTAGATACTGGTGGAGGATGGTCAAGCGTTTTAATAGCATGATGTGTTACATTACTAGCAACTGTTAATTTACTTGTGTCAAATAATTTTGCATATTGATTAAGAAGAGTTTTTACTCTATCTTGTTGTTCAGGATTATCAATATGTCGAATTAAATTATTAATGTTCTTATGTACGATTTGATGATCAGTAGTTGAATTTCTTTTAAAAGACAATGT